CAACCGCTGTGTGAGATACTCTTATGAGTTAGCCGCTGTCGACAATGGTTGTGGTTAGAGAGACTGGTGTCAAACGCTGTGCTTTCAAACTTCAACGTTAGTCTTTAAAGAAACTTCTCACAAAACGGGTGCTGGTTTCATTTTTAGCGCTAACAGCCAGACCGAACTTGTAAATAATTCGCGTGTCGGTTAGCGTAAATTGACTCTGAAACACAACAAACAAAGAATGAACTTACACACAGCTTGCGGAGTCAACTGAATTCTTTGAAAGAACGCCAACAACAACAACTAAGAAATATAACAAACAACACACAAGCACAACTATCGGTCAACAAAACAACGGTCGGTCAGCTGCTCCAGCTAGTTAATGAATGGTATGTGTTGCCGGACAACGAGTCGTATATAACTGGACTTATACTACATTGTCTGTCGTGTTATTCCTGAAACTAATGCGAAGTGGTGGCGGGGATAAACGTGGGGATAAATAAATATTTCCTGTCAGGATTTTGTCCATTCGATGTTGGGGTAGGGAGGGGATGTGGTAGCTGACTTGTGGTTAAGTACAAGACCTTGCCTAACATACTTGCCCACTTAAGAGGGTTCATAGCCTGAACATAAGTCATTAAACTTGCAAGTGTCTGCCTGCTGTGTATTGTTGTCATTTTTGGTTTCGTCATAAATTTCGAGCTGCCTGGGACGAAACAGAACAAGCAAAGTACACACCCGCTTTAAATTCTTATACATTAAAAACAAAACAAAAATATTTTCATTTTGCTTGAGTCAGTTGAAGGCGCAGTCATGTGTCCCAAATGTTTTTTGGTTTTCTTCTATTTTGGCAAAAGTAAAACAACAACAAAAATGCGGAATGCTAAATAACACAGCTAAAATATTTGCCATGGTCATTCCAAGAAGTAACAAATAGAGTGTAAAGAAAACTTGAAAGAAAAGTGCAACCCATTCCTGGCGATTTTATCTTCAAAAATATTTTAAAAATTCTTATAAACCACATCGACCCAAAAGAGGCAAATGGAGAGAAGGTAAACGAGACACAAATACTTAAGGAATGCTGTCTATAACCATGACGAATGTGAGGAATATGGGTCTTTTAAAGCAATACCTTGACAACGGTTATAAAAATCTTAAAAGGTTTTCAGTATTTAAATTCGGTTTGGAATTGAAAAACAATGGATGTTTTTACATTTCGGTAAAATAGGTCGTATGCTTGAAAAATTAAATATCCGAACTAGTTTACACTTATAATTACAAAAACAAATCAAGTCATATCAGTATACTTGTACTACTGGCTAAACAAATAATTGTATACTAGGTAAGTTTAAGAAAACGGGGCTCTATATAGCAAATTCTCTCCCTCCAGGAATACGGAATTCAAAAAAATAGCTTCGGTTTTAAAATGTAGTTTATATCTTCAAATAGGTGGCAGTACCGTTTATGCCAAGATCACTTTAGTTGATACTGTGAATCGTTATGTGGCCTCTATACCAATAATTCCCCTTTTTGGACAAACATTTTTAATAGCCTTTACCCGGGCCATTATTACCGTATTCGATTTAGAATGTAATGCTGTTCAAGAATATTTAATCCTCAAGACTGAAGTCATGTATTGCATATTCCGCCCAATATTCGGATACTAAGTTTTCAACTAGTGCAACGATCAACATCTTAGTTAATTGAAAAAATGTTCATACTTACATATGTATACGTCTATCTACAGCATTATGCAGATTATATTTCCAAATCATGGACATAAGAGGAGCATAAATATTCCAAATTTTTTAGTGTTTAATTTCCATCGTTAGAAAAGTTGTATTTGACTTTTTTTCAGTGTTGTCAAATTTTGGCCTCTGTACCCAAAAAGTAACTTCATATTTCCTGTATATTAGGCCTATTGACATATATGGTCATTATTTTACCACTAAAACGGTCGATTTCTTCATTTGCGGTTGGTTATTGTTATTCTAAAAACACAAATCAAACAATTTTTTCAATTGACTTTCTCTTTCTACCCCAAACTATTTTCTGACAAAAATGACATAAAAAACGAATTAAAAAAATATACATATTTATTTGTATGTCAAATAATTACAATTGAAAGTTTTATTTTCGTCATATTGGCCCCAAAGTTTTATTTTACCATCATTTTTGAGTAAATATTTTTAATTTAAATAACGAAAAACAACAACAAAGAAACAAAATTTCGCTGTGTTCTCAATTGACAACAACAACAAGAAAATAAAACCCCCAAAAAAGGTGTAAGTGCTGGTGCTAGTTCTGGTTCCCTTCGTTGCTTTGTTCCCTTCGTTGCGTTCATGGCCCCACGTCCGTCCATCCGAACATTCGTTTGATTGAAATTGAACGTCAATTTCAAAACAATGATAGTATCTCTCAATTTAAAACCGCAACAAAAGTTGTTATAGTTTCCATTTCACCATTTTTGGTTGAGCCAATGCCGCTGATTTTTATTTCTGTTATTTGCTGTTGCTCCCCGTTCACTACACACTGCTGTCCGCGTGAAGGCTGTGGAATGGGGCTTTGGCGATTGCCAGCAAATGTTGATGACATTACTGGTGTTTGGTGTGTGTGGCTTCCCACACAGGAATTTCATTTGTATCAATTGTCGCGCAATTTCATATAAATTGGAGACTAATTAAGTTCATATTTTATGCTGAGTGGTGGGCAAGGGTGAGTGAGTGTGTGTGTTTGCGTTGTCGCTTATTTCTGGACGCCTCCAATGGATTGAGCTGTGTAAGCTGTTTCGAGTTTTCACCTCGAAAAAACAACACACAGACACACAATCGCCAAAGGATTTACGTAATGATCATTATAAAATCATTTATTTGGCGCTAAGCCTCGTAATCTTTACCATGTTGGGACGACTCTTTAATTGGGCAAGGCCATATTTATTGTTGAGATAATCGAACACAGCCAGCCACCCACCCTGAAAATGTTTAATGGGAAAATATAAAATGTTTGCTCGAGGCAGTTGAGTAGGTCAGTTGTTGCGGGTGTCATTAGGTGAAATGTTATAACGAAATTCTTATTAAATTAAGCGTGATTGTTACCGGAAAATGTAAGTGGGAAGTTGTTATAATTAATAGCAGAGTAAATATTTGAAGATTGTAATGGAAAAAGTTTTGGAATTGTTTGAAATGCTATAAGCTGACACGTTAGAAAATGGAAAGCGTTTTATACCATCCAAAATTTGATAGCGATGTATTATTACTATAAAATATTTATTCCTAGAAAGTACAAAATCGGCGTCAATACTCAATGATTTTAATTACCCTTATATTTGTCATATATCCAGTGTATAACCACGCGAGTTTTATACCCTCCACCCTAAGGTGGATTCCGTTTGCCTTCGGTGTAATTTGGCATTTTGTGTTATCATAGGGTAATACACCATTTCATCAATAATAATCAATATTGGTCCCTTCTCCGTATAGTCAACAAATGTTGCTATTTTAAATTATCATTGGCTGCGAAATCTCAATACCAAAATGTTAAGTACATCAATATTTCCGACATTTTAAATATTTTTAAATTTTTTCAATAACGCGAAATATTCCTTCCGCTGAAGTACCTAAATAAATATCAACATTTCGTACTATGTCTGTGAAACACTTGAACCCAACATCTTGCAGTATCACCCTATGTTGTATGTTTCGCCATCCTAAACGCATCTCTATAATTTCAAATAAATCATTTTGTTGAATTTCCTCAATTGAAACCAATTAATATTTGTTATTCACATTAATGCATGAGTTTGTATGATTTACCCTCTCCTCCACTCCCTTTCCATTTCAGATATTTCCAATTGAATTTCTCCACTTGAAACCAACTTCAATCAGTAGTGCCACAAAACCATATCGACGAAGAAGACGACAACAACGAAAACATTGTTCCTATTCCAGAAGAAACAGACAATTGACATTCTCGAGAAGTTCAGTGTAGGGGAACAACTGATTATTATCAAGACAACCAGACCGGACAAGCCAATGAACAGAAGCCATTTAGCTACAAGCGTCTGCGTGAAGAACAGAAAATAAAAACCCTACACCAGGCACTGAAGTGATCGTCTCTGGCCGAGGGGCAAAAATAAATAATTTCCAACAACTTGACAAAAACAATTTGTTATAAAACATTCACAAAAAAAATTAAAGAATAACAGAAAGAATAAGAGCAAAGGAATCAACAAGAAAAAAGAGAAAATAGACAACGAATAGACTGATCTTCCAAATGAAACGAGCATTGCAGTTGAACAGCAGTGTCCAGCATCATTAGTTGTCTTCAAGACACAAAGCCTTCGCGTGTGATCATCGACCAAAAACAGAAAGCTTGCGCGACAGACACAAATCGAAAGACGTGTTGTCATCTTTTGTATTTGAGGAACGGGCAAAACCGATCCCACCAACACGACTCATCACAACGAGAGACGTGCTTGGCCAAGTGAGTCATAAATTGCCAACAAGTCATAAGCAGATCTAAAACACACAACAATAGCTGGAATAAAACAAAAGCAACAACAACAACAGCTGACAACAAATAAATTTAAATTTGGCTCGATAAATTGTTAAGAAGTTGTAACCAGAGACGTCGTTAGAATTGCTGTGGATCCAATTAAAAGCGATCGAATCGAACCGATCTAACTCTTGTTTAAATTGAAGAACGCCTTTTTCAAGACAATACAACTCATACCCCACGCAACAATCGTTCGTTCGCCTTGTCAACTTGTTTCTGTTTTTTGCAAAAACAAACAAAGCTACCGCTACCTACGAACTAGCCAGTAAAGCAGTCGTGCCATTCGCGCCATACATTATTATTATTAGTCATTCGTACTTGCTTCGATCACGTCACATTCATACATAGATCCATTTGACAATTGAAGAGTGCTGTAGCAGCTGCCGGCGAAGACGCTTGGATTTGTATGAACTTCTTGCCCACAAAAGCAATCAACGTCTCGACAACAGTCGCTCGTACACAAACGCCAATAGCTTAACTCAGGCTGTAGGTTTTCTTTGTCTCTGCTGTCATCATTGTCGTTAACTGTGAACATATTTGGCGATGGCGTCACAAGGTGTCGCTGCCACCTCAAGGCTGGCTGAAATGCAGGTGAGTTTGCGCGTTTAATATTTACTTTGCAAATACTAATAATAATAATGGCAACAACAACAGTAGTTGTCCATTTGTATAAAATTAGTTAAGAAGTTTATTTATTGTTTTTATTTAGTTTATGCTAATTTGTTTAAACAATTTCATTGATTAAACAAAACAATTTGTCGTTGGCTGTGTTGTCGTAGTTGGGCGCGTTCCAACCGGTTGTTTATTTATTTCTCCGATTAAAAATTCAGAAGAACGCAACATAGTTATATTTAGTAACGGAAAAAATATTGCGGGCAATCTAATATCAAAAATAAAATAAAAACATTATGGGCATACAACAGCAATTTATATTTTTGAAGATAAACCAAACTCGACTTTAAGAATTTTTGAAAATAGCATAGCAAGTTTTAAAATTCAATTTTATTTTTTTTTTTAATTTTTTTAATTAATAAAATACCAAAAAATTAAATAATACCCGAGATTGAATGAGACTCGTGCGTTACAGAATGTTGAAAAAATCCATGTTTAGGTAGTGTGTTCAAAATTATTGTAGTCATTTCGTAATATTGTATAATTGTATGTCAGTAGGTAAACATTGACAAACGCTATTAAAAATAAAAGTGCATTACTTATCCTGCTATAATTACACGGATGACTCATCCGACTTGCAGTTGTCGTGCCGTGCCACTTTTGCTATAAAAGGCCTATAATTCATGCCAGCTACCGCTAACAGTAAACTAATAACTAGAAAAGGTGGAATTTTTTTATTTAATTCAATAAATTAGATGTGGGAATCAGTCATAGACAACGTTCAGGATATTATCACAACCCATCGCGCTATATTCCTATGTGAATAAAAATAAACGTTACCAACCTGTTTATTAAATGTCGTAAAACCTGTATATGAAATCGATTTTAGGTAGGTGTGAACAAAATTTGAAAAAATATTAAATATTCAATAACAGTTTTAATTATTTATTATTAGATTAGAATATTAGATATTTAGCTTTCTAAATAAGGTATAAATAACTACATACGTGAGTTCAAATGATTGTCTTAGATGGGTCATCTGATAGATTTTGTACATTAGGCTGTGGTATTATGTCTTTGTGCGTTTGTATGTAACATACAAAAAGATACAAATTAGACCCATAGTTGCCTTGAGCATATATTTCAAATCACTTTTTGAACCCTATTTAAAAAGGTTAGAATCAGCTCAGATTTATGCAGGATTTTTGCTAAAAAAATACCCATTGTTGGTATTACAACGTCATCGCATTTTAATATAGGTATGTACTGATTCAAGCGTAACAGTATTCCCATTTACCCACAACATTAAACATTCCAAAATGCCAACATAAGAAACAGATAGTTTATTTTAAATGAATTTTAAACGATCCCCAAGAATTTAAATTAGGGATTTGGTCTAAGCTACAAAGTTTTCCCTGAATATTTACTAAGTTCGACCTTTTCGGCGTCGTCCTCTTTTATTTGTTTATTTATTTTTTCGTGTTGTGTCTGCACTAGTTGCCCTCAAAGCCGGCATGGTTGGTTTATTGTTCCAACCACAACCATGACAACGACGCTTTCCCACACAGCAATGCCAATGTATTATTAAAGGATTGCAAACAAGCAATAACAAGTCAGTTCGATACGATTCAATAAAAAAGCGAAAACTGGCTGATAAACAAAACAAAAGCAACTACCACAATCAAAGAAATATATCAAGGAAGGCATTTTGATTTTCTCAAGCTATTTTCTTTTTTAATTCCACCTTTGTCTTTCATTGTGTTCGGCACGGAGTTTAAAGGCCATTTAAATTGTGAAATTGAAAGAAAAGTAAAGTTTCAAACAAACAAACGAAAACAATATTGTGGAAAACTAGTAGATCTGCTCCAAAACCATTGTAGAATTTATTGAAAAATACACAAACGATTATAATTACACATATTTCGATGTGAAAAAAAAAACTTTTAAAGTGTGTGTCTGTCATGGGAGTCAACGTGGTTAATTTTACATGAAGGACGATATTTAATTGGAATAATAACTGCAATAAAAAAGTTGAAGTCCATTACACCTGATGTCAGTGACAAGAACTTGAGAACAACAATTTGTTCTACTATCAGTTTCTAAACGATTTCATGGAACCAACATCACTCTCTCCTGATGAGTTTTGAGGAGTACATCAAATTTAAGTTTATAAAAGACACGACAACCAACACCATAAATAAATTTAACGTAATACAATAAAGGATTTATATCTATGCACCCGCTCTCTAACGGACCACGTTTTTTGCTGCAGGAAAATTAAATACAAACTCAGTACACATGTACGGAAGACATGTAAGTCATAATATAATTTTTGGCATATTACCTACTCCATTCAAATTTAATAAATAGCTTAAACGTACAAATAAAAATGATTAATGTGTGAATAAATCTACCGAAATCGAGATGTGTCAATTGTGTCATTAATTTAAAAAGATGGCCAATAATCATTATATCGTGGAATAATATTTAATAAAATAATAATCAACTATCTAATTGTTCAATGTGTATAACGAAATGTGATTTTAAAAATACAAAGAAAATATTTAAAATAAAGACCAAAACTATATAAATATAACCTACTACACTAGTCCATTGAACATAGCCAATGATTAAAGTAGAAATTGACACGAAAAAGGGCCACAATAAATTTCAATCATTACAATAAACAACTAATAAACAATTGCCAATGCTAATTCGATTCGTATTTATAACAATGGCTAGAAAGTCTTCTGGGGAATATGGAATAATGCTAAACAAATATAACAATCACAAAAAATCTCAAACATTTTTGGGGCCGGGGAGTGGTATGTGTGTTTTGTTGTGCATTATTTAAGGTTGATAAACATATTATATTCGAAATATATGAAAATTATTATTTTTTAAAATAGTACAATGGTTACAATAAATATATGTTCAGTATAGATATTGCGGTGTGTAAAATGTGTACTATATTGGTTGAGTCACATTTTGCCTTATCAAAGGATATATAAAAAAGCAATTAAAATTTTAATTGTATATAAAATAAAGTGTAAATATTTACCGGAATTGGTACATCACAAGGTAATATTTTGAAAACATTCTCCAAAATCTTCAATTTTATTTCACAATTCCAAAGTCCGAAGACCACATTTAACAAATTGATTTTCGATACGAATTGACAATCAATTCTAAAGGACAAAGAGTGAAAGTAGAGAGAGTAATTAACATAAAAACAGTCTAAATAACATTTCGATTTGCCGAGCAGAAATATCTCATTAACAGACATTGCAACAATAAACATAATTTACACACATATCACCAAACCCAACATTCAAACAAATTATAAAAAAAAACAGTGAGCGGAGCAGTATAGTCGGACGGGGCCGATCATATGATACCCTACACAACTTCCACGAACTTTCTGTAGTTCTATGTTCTGAGCTTGGGCAATATTTCGAGATATTTGCATCCTCTTGACCGACTAGAGGTTAACAAATATTACTAATATTCATAAGAGCCCTTCTAAATACTTGTCCAGATTCCATTCCTTCAGGAGTAAATATATACGGTATGGAATACAAATTTTGTCATTTTTCACACAAAAGTCAGGGTCCATTTGACCCGCTAAATATTGACCAAACAGGCATGCTTATTCTCTGGCCCGATCCCCTTCTTCATGCAAAAATTCGCTGTGTTTGGGCCATAATTGCGGCCTCTGGAGCGACCAGAAAAACCGACAAAAATAAAGTTTTTGGTCCATTTCATCCCCTAAATATTAACTGATCTTTTCCAAAAACAATAGGGGTCTTCATTGGCCAGAACCCATCCTACATGCAAAATTTCGTGAAGATTGGTCCATAACTGTGGCCTGTATCGTGTTTACAAATTATAATGGACAGACGGACGGACGGACACACATGTCTAGGTCCACTCAGATAGTCGAGATATGACGATCGGTATACTTAAAGGTGGGTCTAGGACCAATATTTAGCAGCGTTACAAACTCTTGGGGCTGCATAAAGCTATAATACCCTGACAACATAGTTGTGTAGGGTATAATTAAAATAAAGCACAGGATAATAGTTACTACTAAAAAAAATAAATGTAAATTATAAAAACAAATTGAAATGAAATGAAAAAAATACCTACTCAACAATATAATTTGAATCACTTGGATAACCTTGGATCGCAAGTTATACATCTTGCGGTTCAAGGTTATATACATATCGAATAACAAATACAGCTATGTAAAACAATATTGTATTACATTTCTCTCTGAATTCCACAACTGTTTATTAAAACCATTATTATTATTATTGTTATATTCCAATGATATTGACATATACATGCAACAATTAGGCACCGTGTTGTCTTTGCCATTGAACTTGTTTCCCTAGCTAGTAAATAAATTGTCACATGTTAAATTACACAATCCATGAATAATATGTTTATTTGTTTATTTATTTGTATTGAAAGTAGCAGAGTCTAACAAATTACACTTGTTACACACAATAATTGACATTTGCAGAAATGTAAGATACGTGGTAACTTACAATCATTGAAAAATTTTATATAAATCCGAATTTCGGTCCTTAGGTAACCCTTTGTGACCCGAATTTTTTACCGTAATCATAGAAAAATTTTCTGTTCACAGATTTAATGCAACTATCCTAAGTAGGATATGAAAACAATTGGACATCACTACATCCTTGCATTCGGGAGATATAGTAATTTTTTTGTGAAAATTAAAAGTTCAATATCAAGAAACCCAAATGAAAAATCATTTTAAATTATTCTCTATATTCTTTTTTACAAGAATTAAAAATAATTTTATGGCAGAATTCGAATACGAAGCGATTTAAATAATTTGGACTGTATACACAAATTAGTACTGTACACATTTTGCCCTCTTCTCTATTTTGAAAAGCTCATAATAAGTTTACCGCAAATTTGATTTTTTAGATTTATAAGCTCAAAAAAATGTTGTTGCCTGTGGGCAACATTGGGCCACAAATGATTAATATAGCCACCTTAGCCTAAAAGCGGAAAAACATTTTTCTAACAAAATTTAGAAAAATCAATTGTAGCAATAGTCAATAGCTTTGTCATCGTATATTTGATTTACAGACAATTGTCACATAATTATACAAACCCGACATTAATTATACTCAGACTTTTTTCAAAAAGACGGAAGAAAGGTCAACGATACAAAAAAAAATATATAAAATTATGGCACGTGCGTAATTACAGGTATCTATGTTAAAATAATAGTTATTTTTGGTCAAGACAAATAGTTTGTAGAGTCAATTTATTAGCAGTAAATCACAGCAACTTTATTTACATGCCCGAATTTTTCTTATAAATTATTTTAATTAATTTTTTCTTTTCTCTGAATAACTTAATACATGAAATTTCAAATATGACTACCAATTTCTTTCATTTTGAAATTTTTTTTATAAAAAATTATAAACAACTCACTTAAGTAATTAATCACTCGCCCACTGCCTGGTCCCAAACAATCAACATGGGTTTATTGAGTGAAATTCCTCTACGGCGGCTTTTACGAACTCGTATGAGTAATTCTGATTGTAATTAAAATCAACCATTGTAATGATGATTGAAGTGTTTTGCTTTGGGAGAAGCAATAAACGTGTGGTTGTGTTTACTTAAAGTGCAGAGAGACAGCAACAATCATAAAAATAATAACCCCAACTTCGCGCGGCTAAATACGAAACAAGGAAGACCGGAAAAACACAAACATTTACGAAGGACTCATGAACTTTGCCCAAAGCATGCATGTACTATGTATGCGTATGTGTATGTGTATAAGCGACATATTCATTTTTTTCTTGTTTCATTTTAATGTGTACATGCATACTAATGTTTAGTTTTTAAATGAAACGTTAGGGTGGTAATATAAGAAGTGGTATATTTCTACGACAGTAATTGAAAAAAACACTATTTGTTAGTGTTCATTCGCAAACTATCTATATGAAACTGACTATCTTTATGAAACTTATTATTAAACAGCTTTCGCTATAGAAATGGTTTAATTTTTTCGTAGAACATTTTTTATTGGAAACTAGCATCGAAATATTTGAAACTAACGGTAATTAATAATTTATTCGCTCTTCCATTCTGATCGTCTTTAACAGTGTTATTTAGGAATATAAACTACTCATTAATGTAGGTTACCCATTTTTATTTGTTCCGTCACTGTATTCCGTCACATATTCTTACAACCCACATTGTATGGAAAACAACACTCCACCCTAATTTACCATAATCATACATGCAGGCATGTTAATACACATCGACATTCACACTCACATTAACAATTAATATTAGTAAAGTTCTAACGGTTATTAACATTTAAGTTTCTACAACCTGTATGGCCATCTCCCGCCCCAACACCACATCGTTAGTGTTTGTTTTTTGTTCTTGCTGCCCATGTCCTTCTAAAATATCTATCTGTCCACCATCATCATGTCACATTTCGCTTGTAGCCGGGACAAGTGTAAGGTTACACACACGCTTCGCAATAGCAGACGGTGTTCTTTCGGTATTTTTCATAACGAAGCGGTGACCAGTTTTACCTAAAACGTCATCAAGTCCACACTTTGTCTACCGCAAAACTTCCGAACATAACGAAACTGATTAGTTATTTAAATTAAATAAACTCCTCTACTCAAAGTGTTGTTGTCTTGCCATTTTTGTAAAGATCATTAACAAATAAATAAAATCTACATTAACTTCCCCCCGCAAAGTCTGTAATAATGTACGAAGACTACCAAGCGCGACTGCACCAACAACGGCATAACGATGAAATCTATCGAGAAAATATAGTTCCCATAAAACTAAACGAATCGTGGGCCGGTAGACGTCTAGTTGAGGCTCTGAGTCAGCTACCGCCACAAAGTTTAAGTTCATCATGGGATGTGAGTTGTGTTGATGGCTTTTGTTTGACTTTGCAAATTCATAACGGAAATCGATATTCAATTTTTCTAAACTTTAAAAGCACAGCAGCAAGTGTGTCTCAACACATTTGGCAAACCCCTTTCTTACTACCACACGATTCGATTATTTCTGGTATAGTTTTCAACTTTTAATTGTAGCTCTTTCCATACTCAAACAAAAATAGACAATTGTTTGGGTGTTTTGTGTAATTACAAGTCTAGATTTAGCTCGCGTTGGTGTATTTTATTTTAAAGAAACTAACAATTTTTATGAAACGTTCCAGTTGAAATCATTTAGCCGAACGTTGCGATTGACACGGATAAGAGATTAATTCGAAAATTTTCTTTTTTTTTTCATTGTTTGATTCCAGATGAGATTTCAAAGAAAACAGTTATTGGAACGTGAACAGAAGAAATTGGCACTGACAGGAGGTGATAATGGAATTGAAACAACAACGACAACAGTGACCACAAGAAACGCCATCGGAAATGGAAAGGTATGAAAGGAAAATAATGTTGAGAAGTCTCGGGGGCAGATATATTTTCATGCCAAACGGATGACAAATTTATTCGGATTATTTTTTTCTAATATGAGTTCATTTTATACCAACAAATTATAAATTTTGACTGATTTCGGAAAAATAAAACAGTTAGTAAATGATTTTACCAATTGTTTTTCCAAGAAAGTCTATATGTACATTTAAAATTGCATGTAACTATGTTAGTCGGCTAAAAAGCAATCACATTAATGCATTCAACCATCGAAAACTTTTTATCAATACGGGAATCTATTATTTACCTACATACATGTTTATTGTTTGATTTATAAATAATATTTGTTTTCATTTCCCCACTCATTCCTCCAAAAGGTACGGCAAATGTTCGAGCAACGCCGTGGAGTGGGTATTGACCGCAGTCACCCACTAAAACCAATAACAACAACGACAACCACCACAATCACAAAAACACAACAAAATCCTGTACGCCGTCTAGCTGGCGGTGGTAATCCAACTACGACTACAACCCGGCGAACCATTGTTACCACAAAACAGAATAGCAATTCAACATTAAGCAGTTCCCATTCGCGTTCAAGTCCTTTCTCATCGAATGGTAATTTATTTGGCGATGAATTGGATGCGGTGGACAATTTAGAGAGTGAAACCTTTCCCAAGGAATTTTCGTCTCTAAGTCTGGACAATACCCGGGTTATGGGCCCACCTGTCAGTGACGGTAATAACAATACCAGAAGTTCGAATGGCATTCGTAAAGACATTATGGACACAACAATAACCTTGGGTCGGAAAACTACAACAACGAATGGCATCAAGTTGAATCCAGTGATAACTAAGAAGTCACCAACCACAACAGCACCTCGCACAATGGCTGCCCAATCGAGGACACCGAGCAGCGCTAGCCGTACATCTGCATTGTCCCGAACCTCTGCAACAGCATCCAGTAATGGTACATCCGCGAAAACGCCAGAGAAAAAGACCACCCCATCTGTTACTTCAACGACAACAACAACCACGAAAATAGGTGCAAAGGTAGGAACATATATTAAAATTATGTAGTGCTTACCGATATCGTCCATCATATAAACAGTTTTTAATCCATAAGTAAAGCTCGTTACCAAATTGACAAAAGCTAAACGAATCTTCTGAAATTTGCACTCCGAATAAAAGAAGCGCGTCACGATTTGTTTACAAAACATTGTTTTTTCTATTTTAAAGAACCACCCTGTATTGTATATTTAACGGTATTAAATATAACCAAATTATTGCATACGTATCGATGCGTAACGTAACCCCATTTTAAAATATCACTACCATAGAGTTGCGAATCGGAAAGTATCCTCAGTAGACTCACGTAAAGAACTATATTTCAATACTGAAGAACCTCTATGCAAAATTAAAGCTACAAAATAATTCCTTTACCCATTGAATAAATTCCTCTTTAACAAATTTTGTTAAGATTTAAATCAATTCAAAAAAACATTACGAACGAAAACTTTGAAAATTATAAAGAATACTAGTGAGGAAAATTATACCGACAGATTTCGATGCATAAATGCATTAAATTATGTTTAATATAATATAATAATTTATTTAATGTAATCATTTACTTTCCCCTTTTTCACAGACCACATCCAAAACTGTCAATGGAAAGCCGGCCACATTCGTTATGGTGAGTTCAATTAAATCAAGTTTTTAAAGTATGTACTTATAAATAACTTATTTTCTCTAACAGGCTGTAAAACCACCACCTCGCATCACTACACCGCCACCTGGAATGGCCACCTGCCATATTTGCAATCGAAATTTCAACGAAGATCGCCTATCAAAACATGAAGAGGTCTGTCGCAAAATGGTCTCAACCAAACGCAAAATATTCGATGCTTCGAAGCACCGTGTTAAGGGAACAGAAGCCGAGAAATATGTTGCCAAAAAGAAGGGTGTTGCGGCAGCTCCCAAGGCAGCTGTGGTCAAAAACACATCGACAGATTCATCGAAGAAGAGCAATTGGCGTAAAAAACATGAAGAATTCATCAATGCCATACGTGAAGCCAAAAAGGTGCAAGCTTATTTGGCCAAAGGCGGGAAATTAAGTGATCTGCCGCCACCACCACCATCGGAGAATCCTGATTACGTTCAATGTCCTCACTGTAGTCGACGTTTCAATGAAGCTGCGGCTGAACGCCACATACCGAAGTGTGCCAATATGCAGCATAATAAGCCGAAGCCGCCACAAAAGAAACGATTTTAAAAATGCTGGGTTTTCATTCTCATTCAATGATTAGCGGTTAAAATGTGTTAAAACAAACTACTTTACACATTAAAATATTATTTTCATTACTAATTATTTACTAAAATTCTGTATAAAAAGGAAACAAAATCTGCAATGGAATGAACGTTCATCCTTATAATCATGTACATGTTGTGATAAATTATTTGTGAAACCATTATTTTTGTTTAGTTCTTATTAACTCGATGTAATGGAAAATAGAATTGAATTTAAATAATAAACAACAAGATATTTGAAATATTTGTACATTTGGCTTGTTTATTCATTTGTTTCCATTTTCTCCTCACTCTCAGCCTCCTTTTGAGCACTTTTAGCAGCCAAACGATCTATAAGAGCCTTGACCGCTTTAGCAGCTGTATTGATTTCTAAACCTTCCATTGTATAGGCCAGATTATCTAAACTGGCATCGTCATCATCCGCGAACCAGTTAACCAACATAGCAACGCATCCACCATCACGATCGGCATTTTCCGTCTCAAAGTACAGCAACTCATCGGCTGCATAACCCAACTTCTTGCCTAACTTCTTCCAGTCATCGCCAATCAAAGGTGCCAACTCTTCAATTTGTTCTCTGGAAGCAGTGAGTGGTTTTGTGTGGGCATTATTGTCCTCTTCACCTTTGTCTAAGTCATTAGTTTCCTCTTCATCCTCTAGGACACCTTCGTCATTGACTTCATGTTCGGCCTCTTGTTCGTGTAGATTTTCCTGTATTTCACCGGAGGAAGTAGTGCTCTCTGCGTTTGTGCCATTTGAATTGATAGCAGCTTGCTTTGCTGCATCCAAACGGTCCTTGGCCAGACGCTTTCGCACAGCATCCAAATAGTCTGATATTTTATATGAAGGTGAATTTATAAATGTAAAGAAATGAGGCGATTGTCGTGCCAGCAACCTCAATGCACGCCACTCAAATGACGTGTCAGTCTTATCACGAAAACTTTCCAAATACGTTTCGACTTGGGGCAAGAAGTTGCGTTCTTCACTTTTGCAAGCTTGCAGATTATCCGGCGAATAGTTCCACAGACGAGTAAGGACATCGCTAAAATGAAATGAAGGATGTATCAACGCACATTGTCTTATGTTTTGTCATTTGTACTCACTTGCCCAAAAAGAATTTTCCTTGTCTGTTGGCATCTCTTAGGCAATCACCTAATGTCTTTCGTTCGCGTTTTGCCGGAGGAGGTTTATCATCCGATACGCTTTCCTCAGGTTTCTTGAATTCTTTGCATCCATCATTTTTCCAATTATTCCACATTTCTTCGCGTTGGAGCATGTGTCTTACAGTGCGAGAGAATCGTTTGCCATTGGGAGGAGTTTCTTCCAATAACTGATATACTTTTGCTTCGGTCTCCTTAATGAAATCTGACTGGGCGGGAGTCAATGTATTTGATTCCCTAAATAGCGGAATAAAAATGTCGTGAATGATTATATAGCAATACAGCAAATAGACCAACTTACGCTTTAAATTTTACAGTTAGTTGCAAATACTGAAACAGTATCAGGAACTGCACCAAAACTGCTCTTCGAAAATTAGCATCGGACAGTTGTAAAGCCAAGAGTTTTGGATTGGTTAGAAATTTTGCAAAGAAATGGTCCACCTTCTGAACTGACTGATCAATTTCATTTTTGAAATCCATGGTAAAACTTATATCCAAATCCATTTTATCGTTTAGATCATCGTTATTATCCTCCAATTGTGCCGATGCTGATCGTAAATCCTCCAATTTAAAGCTCGAAAATGACTCCAGCACTGTTGTGGCGTGCTAATAGTGAAAAATAATTAAAATACTTGCTTACGACTAATGCCATCGCTATCATTCACTTACAGTCTGGAACATTTTCCACGATGCCTTACTGTAACATTGATTTGGATTTCGGAAGAAGTCTTGCAGTGACCAAAACTTACAATATAAATTGTAATCTATTTTGATGGGTATATCCTCAATGTCTTCCAGAGTATCATCTAGATCCTTGCCATCAACACCATAATCGGTGACATTCTCCAAATTAAATTCCGAAACAATATTTAAGCCAGACCTTTCCGAAAATGGGAAGAATTTGGAAAGGAACAAAAGTATGCGACCACAGAATACAGTGTTCTGGGCCCGACTTAGCCTCCGTAACAAGTCATTACACATCCGTAATATGTTATTTTTGCAGGAAGAGAAGAAAATCTCTTCCTTCCACACCTCAACCATTTCTTCGACATAATTGAAGATCTTCTCACATTTATCCAGAGTCACGGTCTCAAAAATATCGCCCAACAGTACTACAGGTATGGTGACCGACACTATTTCCGATCGAACCGCCTGCACAGACAACTTCACCAACTTGCCTATCGAGTCCACATTGTCGCTGAGCTGGAACATGAGTATCTCGCGGAATGCCTGATCCATTGGCGCCTTTTTATCATGATCCGAGTTGTTGGCATAACTGTCGTAGACTTTTCTCAATATCTGGACATCGTTTTTCTCAAATGCTTCCGTCAAAGATTTCTGAGGGTTAACAATAAATTACAGGCATTTGATTGGATGCACTCCTTAGCCGGTAGCCAATATGCGTTGTAATACTTACAGAAAATGCTGCATGCAATCCTGTAAAATCAGTAGATTTCTCAATTGTTTTACTCATAGTATTTATGGCCAAAAGTATCCTCTTAATTCGCGTTTTCCACAGAATATTATTTTTTTGGGGTCCCTTCCTTTCCTTGATGCCGAGGCAGATTTAATAAGGTGGCCGCATCAGCAATTGTTTACAACAAACAACTGTTGTAGTACATTGATATGTCAAAAATAGTTTACGAACACAAACCGAATTATAAGAAATTTTCTCACAAATTCAATAATAAAATGCTAATAAACTTGTTGCCGAACAAGTTTATCCAAATGCAAATATTTCCATTCATAATTTAGTTTTGTAATTTGTTGATTTTAATTTCCAACAAAATATTTGACAGCTAACTGTACCAACAGCTGTGCTGATGCAGATACCCTAGTAAATCTACTTTGATTAATGCCTTTACTGAATAAACGTCCTAATTTAAAACCGTTTCTCTTGCAACGAATAGTGGGAGCAATGAGATAATGGGTGATAAATAACGAACTTGAAACGAAATGGCAGTTAACTGATTTGTTTACGAATGAAGGTAATATATAACGTCGATATTCTCGCTTTGTTTAGAAGGAGTCATAGAGGAATGGGAATTGTTTAGAGTGGCCGTGTCGCCAGAACACAATGCATGCAGAGCACGAAGCCGATCGGCTCGCAGTCGGCGTGCAGCCGCCGCCGACTTTTTTTAAGTGATCTGAGCCGCCGCTGATGTATGCGGCTCTCATCGGCTCAAATTTTTAGCCGACTGAGTCGGCTAAGCCGTTGAAAAATATAAATTTATACAGCAAATTTGTATAAATATGTCTTTTAATCTTATCGATAAATTAACATATTATAATGCTCATTATTGGACGATAATTTACATTGTGCACTCGTCTTCGAGAGGCAAAAACGTGTAGGCTATTTATATTAATTATACCCTACAGCACATAGTGGTAAGGGTATTATGTCTTTGTAGATTTGTTTTTTTTTATCACAAAACCTTTGGCAACCTTTTGTAACTTACGAATTTTGATGGAGTGGCAAGCATATTGTTTGCCAAAGATTCGTTGTGTTTTTGCTTGTTCAAAGAAAAGAATGCAAAATGTGCCAAAGGAATATTAAAAATTATTTTTCCGCTAACCGAAAGGGTCAAACAGTTTTGACTAAATCAGAATCCGATTCTGACGAATCTGTTGATACTGAAATCAATATTTCTCAATATGCAGATGTATCTCAATATGAAGATCTTTTTAAAAAGAAAAATGAATTTAAAAATTTGGCAAAGGTTGTTGTAAATGAAGGTGGTATATCATTGTGTTGGAAATATTTTGGTGATCTCTATTTTAAAAAGAGGCATATACTTCAAAAATATAAATTTTGCAAATTGTGTTTGGATGAAAAGACCAATTTAAAAAGGTAAGAATTTCTAATTTTTTCCATTCGCATGTGTGTAATTGTTTATGATTTTAGTTTTGGAAAATCAACATCAACCACAAATTATATGAACCATCTACGAGCTGTACATAACTTGGACGTGAAATCTTTAAATAACCTGAAAAGTTCAACAATGACACAAAATGCATTGAAATCCTCAACAAGTTGTAACAACAAACAACAAAATGCTCGCCGGGTCGCCGAAATGTGCTGTTGGGATTTGCAACCGTTTAAAATTGTTGAAAGGCCAGGATTTAAGAAATTGGTATCTTTCTTAAACCCAAAGGCTATATTCCCCACAGATAGGACAATAGCTACAACGGCTTTAAACGATGTTTATAACATATATTTGGACCACGTAAAAACAAGCCTTAAAGAGTCGCCCGAAAATGTTACACTTGTATTGGATATGTGGTCAGATAAACATAAGCACTTGTCTTACATAAACATAAAAGTGCATTTCTGCCAAAATTTTCAAATGCAAATTGTAACGCTCAAGACAGAGATCTTTCCACGACCTCACACTGGACTAGCAGTTGTAGAAAAAATTGAAGAAGCTTTATGTGAATTTAATCTGTTGGAAAAAAACATATGTGCTGTTACTGATGGTGGAAGCAACATCGTTTCAGCTTTAAAAATTAAAAATATACCAAGATATGGTTGTATGGCTCATGTTTTACACAGATTTTTGATGGAAGATATACTAAACAACAAGTCATTTGAAAATATTAATAACATAATATCAAAATTAAAAAAAATTTATGGCAGCTTAATGTATAGCTATGAAGAAATATCAAATATTCAAAATATGGAGGAACAAAACGATTTAGTAAAAATATTTACAGAGGTTGAAATAATTTTGGAGAGTTTGGATAGTTGCGAACAATTTCCACATGGAGATGACTATTTTACTGAACAATATGAAGCAACTTTAAACGTCAAGCACCACACCTCTTTGAAAAATTCCGTTGCAACACGTTGGAACTCTCTGCTTGCAATGATTCAAAGCTATACGAATAATATATCCACTATAAATATAGCATTAGTTAAAGCTAAAAAGGAACTGTTAGTGATTGGGACAATGGAAATGCAAATTATAACGGAATTTGGCACGTTTTTAAAAATTTTTGAGGACGCCACAAAACACCTTCACCAAGATTATCCGACGATATCTTCGTGTATTTATTTTCAGGAATCCATTATGTCCTCATTGAAGAAAGAAGAAGAAAAAGCGTCTTTTGAACTAACAATCAATTTATGCAATTTCGCTGTGCAAAACTTTACGAAGCGATTCAAAGTATATAGAATGTATGTTGTAGCTGCGCTTATGGACCCATGCCAAAAAAAACTGGCCTGTTTTAGATAAATATATACTACAGATACCCAAACAATCGCCAAACTCCTTGGAACTTGTGCATGATGTTCTGTCTCCAATTTCCAAGGAGAACTTGATTATGGAAGAAATTGAAAAATTAAAGGAAATCGATGACACATTATTAAATGAGCCATCAACGAGCACTGAACCAAATGCAAAAAAACAGGTATTATGTTTTAATAAATGTAAAGGTAAACTTAACTAACGTATATTTTACTTGCAGAAAATATCAGCTAGTCGTCAAAGAATGTTGGAATTTATGGGACCATCGCCTTCTAATGTACAAAATAACGTAGAGTTAGAAATAAGAAAATATTTGGAAATGAAAGTCGAGGCGGTTGAGCCTCTAGATTGGTGGCGACAGAACAAACAAGTACGTTAAAGATTCACATCTTAAACTTATTTTAAGCAGGTTACGTTTTGACCATTTACTTTTTATAGATCTTTCCAAATGTTGCTGCTGTAGCAAATATGTGCTTTGGAATTCCAGCCACATCAGCATCTTCAGAGCAAGCATTTTCATATGCCGGGAATTGTGTAAATGCAAAGAGAAGCAGCCTGCATCCGGCAACAGTAAAGAAACAATTGTTTGTTCACGATAACAAGGCAGTCGTCGAACCATTTTTATCAAATTAAAGTATTTTTATTAATTTTTAATGTGCTATAAGCAACAAATGTGCATATAAACTTATATTTTCATTTTTATTTTAAATTAAATGAATTGACAGTTATTAAAACAACCGAAATTATTTGTTCACGTTAAAGTCGTCGTCTGTAGCCGACTTTTAGCCGCCGCCGGCCGTATATTGCTTTAGCCGCCGCCGCCGATTTTCTTTCGGCTGCAGTCGACTTTTAGCCGCCGCCGACTTTTTTATGCTTAGCCGCCGCCGCCGAGAATTTTACATCGGCTTCGCCCTCTGAATGCATGAAGTGTTGTTAGCGAAAATTTGTATGTATGTGTCACACATACAATGCATGAAGCCAAATCAAAAATTTTTGGTTTTTCGCATGCATGCCGTTCGATTTTGACGTGTGTGCGGTAGAGGCATCATGCATATTCTCATTTGTGACGTTTTTTCAAAGGGAATGGTTGTATAGAGATGTCGGATACTGCGAAAATAAATATTATAGAGTTGTTGGAAGTATGCCGGTCGTTGTCAGCCCTTTTTCAGCATTTTCTATATTTTTTAAGCACAAGGACAATATCGACAAAATTGTATCGTCTGTTATCGACATTGTCTGTACAGCACGAAATCAAAAGCCAAATGAATGAATCGTGTGCGCTGAAGCGATTTTGATGTCATGCATGCATGATCGTCTGCGGCCCACTTAAGTGCACATTCACACAACTTGCATGTATGATCAACATTATCTCTGACTGTTTTGTGCTTGTTTGATAGTGTGTCAATCAAAAGTGCTAGTCTGCACGCCGCTTTAAAGCGGTTTACACACAATTACCATTTAAAGTGCTTTTGGCCCATATTCTGTCTGAAAATATTGATGGTTGTTGGACATTCAGTAATGGAAAACAACTGATAAAAATACTTACTGAAATGGAGCTGTTTTCATATAGTTCTAACAGATGCAATTTTTCGTGTGTGCCACTTGAATCAAATTTGCGAGATGAAAAACACGCTTTACGATAACATCAAAGCTTGCGATGCGATTCGCGTAATGCGATCTTTATTCGGAGCCTTTTACAGGCAGTAAATACGAATTTTTCACTCTAAAGAATGAACGAACAATATCCAGAACAAGTACAACAAGTTTGACACAAATACAAAGAGTATTTTTATTACAAAAATGAATAGCAAGAGAACATTTTTAATTTTTTTTATTTTATAAATTATTGAGTAAACGAACATACCTATTGTTCCACTCGCTTCATTTGTGTTGATTCCTCGTTTCGTTCGATTCGTCCGATTTTCATTTTCGACCTAAGATACACTATCTTTATTTGTTTTGATTCTGGTTTTATCAGTTACGTTTTAAAGCTATTTCGTCCAATTCCGCAACGCCGTTAAAACTTTAAGAAGCGGCATTGTAATTAAAAGGAACGGTTCCTCTACTGCTTCTGTGGCCAAAGACATAAAGACGCTGTGGCCTTCCAGTTTGGTGGTTCTACAGATGAAATAAATAAAAAAAACTCTGGAAAATATGAGCCAGTCAGATGTAAAACATTCCCTTCGGAAATTCGAATTTCCAGCATGTGTCAAGGAAGCCCTTCCACGCATCGGTAAAACCCCTAAATGACTCAACATTGGAGTTCCTACTCACAGTCTATTCATTCCAGAAAGCATGATTATTGGACGTGGCAAACAGAACTTTATAATGCAATTAATATCGGAATTTGTCTTCCTGGAACGTAACAAAGAAATGGATGTACGCAGAGGACAGTCACCCCAAACCTATGTCAATATGCAAATGAATAAAATACAGGAATTTCAATTGATTTTGGTCTTAATTGACTATTTTTCCCAGCCAGGACCCGACTCAACGAGAAACGCCGTATTTCTTTCACTATTCACAAATCTGACTCCACAGCGGTCTAAAATCTTGTGTAAACTGATAAGTACATCGGTATCGGGTTCGGTTGCTCCATTATTATCTGCTGCCGGTACGTGGATGCAACAAGTGGGATGCACTACACCACCCAGTTTGGAAGTGGCACAAAGCTTAGTAAGCGACTTTATAATTTTTTCAAGAAAAACATCCGAACAGTTGAAACAGTTGCCACTGGTAGCTCCACACTTTGCTGCTAACCTAATGACTGCAGTTGCTGATTTGTATCTCAACGATCAGAGGGGTACTTTAACTCCTCCTCCCGACGCCTTGTTGGATGTATTTTGTGAGTGGGTGTCTGAAAATCCATCCCTTTGTTTGGCATCCCAACAACCATTGGCATTGCCCACTGGTGCTATAGCAATGCCGGTGGTGACCCCATTGGCCGGACTTATAAGATGGTCTGTTTTGGCACCAATCGTGTCCAACAAACCGGCATATAGTAACCTACACTTGGCATTACTTCAAACTCTCTTAGAAATTGTAAATAACGGACCACCTACAGCTTTGAATGCCCAGCATTTGATGTTAATAGCGTCACCGTTGAAGAATCATGCTTCCCGACTAGTAGCTGATAAAATCGACCCTTTACAGGATGCCGATTTTCAAAAGAGTTTAGAACGTCTAGCACAAGCTGTGCAGGTTGGGCTGACCTCCAAATGTATTTATGGAAATATTCCACAATTGCTGTGTACATTGGAAACTTTACCCCCACACAATCTGATGAAAATTGTTATAGCGGCAAATAAAAGTGTGTAAGTTATGAAGAAAAAACTGTTGTTTCAAAAAATGTATTCGTCAAAGTCCTACTGCATTACCTCAAAAAGTCATATCTGGCGAAGAGTCGTTGAGAACGGACTGCAACGTCATGGCTCATCGTAAAGTAAGGAATAGTCCTTTGAATTGTTTGAAAAAGGAAACAGTTACTACTGTTCTTGTGAAATTCGATACGAACCAATTCAGGCGAATAACTACCAAACTTTTATTTATGTCCAGAATATTGTTTGATTCAAAAGGGTTTTGGTCGTAAGTCGCTCGAATTCGTTCGTTTATAATTTTACAGAAACCAAATTGCGAGTAAGCAGACATGCTTAATTCACCTTTAGAATATGACATACATGTACATGTTTGAATAAAAATATACTAAATTTTTTATTACAATCTAATTTTTCAGTTTCAATAACACTTTCCAACTAACAACTAGTACTATGTGATTTTTTAAAAGGGTCTAAATCTTCTGGTCTGCTTCAGAGTTTCAATCTTCTTTTTATCCTCCTCGAATTTCTTCCGCAACTCTACTATGTTTTTCATCTTTGACTCGCGAATTTGGAAAGTGTAGAAGTTTGTTAGCTCCTTCTTTTTCTTGCTCTTTTCCATTTTTTCTTCTATTTTTCCTATAATTCCTTCAGATTGTTCGAAGCCAGCATTATTGCCTCTCTTTCCAACCGTGACCCAGCCATCAGCATCGGCCTCCGTCGTTTTGGCAGCTTCAGCTGCTTCCCTTTCACGTTCATCGTATGCTGCCATGTATTCATCAATATAGGCATGTGTCTTATCCACGTCTAAAATGCGATCCTTATATTGAGTGTGCCACAACTGCATTCCCGTAACAATATATGACTCTTTACTTGTGGGACTAAATAAATCGATGCTCTTCACTTCAAGAGCTCTACTGACACTATTTGAGTTTTTGAATACGACATAGGCCACTTTGAATGTAAACGGAGCTTCGGCATTACTAAATTCCGTAACTTTCTGCATCCACTTCTGATCTTCGTCTCGACCAGCTTTTTGGGCAAACAACACCGAAACGACAGGACCAACTTGTTCGAAAAATGTTTCCAAACTTTTTTCAGTAACATAGGGGGGTACATTCAAAAGAAAAAGTGTTCGGCCCTTGGGTTTATTGGGATCCATGAGACGTATGAAATGTTCCTTCATATAAACACTGTGACAATATTCAGCATCTGGAGTCACTCTCAGGGGCACAACTAAAATGGATATTAATAATGAACAGCAATTGAATACGGCAATTCCATGTGCAATTTACCTTTGTAGCCTTCTATTTCGGGCATTTTGTTTTAAAATATTTATTATTTCTCGAAAAGAACAGATAAATCCCCAATGTTTACGATATATGTACGCACGTGTGGGTTTGAACGAATGTTTCTGTGAAATGAACGATTGGAACTGCTGTAGTATTAGTAAAAAACGTTCCAATTTATACGAATGGAGAAGGCAGATGATAACAGCCAATGAAAAACGAGAACAAAATAATGTAGGGGCTAACGTATTTGTTTACGAATTAGTGTGATAAATGGCATCGAAAAAGTTTACTTGTTTAGAAAATGATATGAAATAGAGGGAAAAGTGATGCCCAATCACATTGATTAAGGTAGCCGCATTTCAAACATTTTATAATTTTAAACCATAAAATAAAAATAGCTAGAATATAATATATATTTGTATATGAAACAAAAATTATTATAATTGAAAATCTACGAATCTTTAAGGACTTATTTGGCAATACATTTATTAATATTTTTGAATGAATTTGTAAAAACTCTTATGAATCGGTTTGTTTTTGTAAAATATTTTTTTAATTTTTACATTGAACTACAGCAGTTTTTGATGAAGATATTCGCCTATGCGGCTATTATGGCCCAATAATGAGGTCAGATTTCACCCTAGCTGTCAAAAAACTTTAAATTTTGTCATGATCGTATGAAAACGTTAAAAAAATTACAGTATGGGGGATTTTCAACCACAATTGCCGATAATATTCGTTTCGTACACGACCTATTTAGTGGACCTTGGCGGTACTTTACTGAGTATACCATGGCGATGCCTAAATATATTTTACTAGTAAGACCTACTTTACACTATAGGGTTAATGAATGGAGCAAGAACACACAGTAACATTTGGTTACAACTGATACCAAATATCGAGTTAATTGATCCGACTATTACCTTAATATACAACTACGATTTAGGCATGGCTGGCTATTCCAAGGCCTGGTTTATTAACGTGATAAAACTGTGATAGAAAGCGGCTAGATGTATTTTCCCGCTGGGTTTTGTTATTTGATGGGAATTTGGAAAGTGTAGATAAATAAAGTCACCTTGAATGGAGGCAATTCGAGAAAAAAGGTACTTTTTTCACATATTTGTGAACTTTTTATTATATTCAAAATTAAAAAGACATTTACCGTTAAACATAACGGACATTTGAAAGGATAATGTCATGCCTTTGCTAGTGCGCATAATCCACATTGTCCCTGTCAATTGCGTTTGTATTGTGTTTCTGTTTTCCGATGGTGTACTAAAAAGACACAAACATTAACAATCAATAAAAGCTTTACCTTAGTCTACGTACACCTGGGCGAAGTAAGGAGAAAAGCGGACAGAGCAATAATAAACTCCGTTGAGCCTTCTTTTGTGTTCACTTGTTGGTTTTACCCAAAGAAAAACCAAACAGCTTAGATGTATTTCTGAAGAAAAGTGGCCAAAGATAACTCCGCAGTAGCATTGAGATATCATCGACACCGACATCGAGGAACCACCATAGCAATTCACAATGAATACAGTGCCAAATCATGCTTTCATCGAGGTGCATGCCCTGCATCCTCATCATCAACATCAACCCCATTGCAAGCAACAGTGCTTTGTTTTCACTGAAATAGCAGATATTGTCGAATTACCCCCCGAGATAACAAAAATTGGCAGCGAGAAGGTGCAAAATGGAGTGGTTATTTCACCGTTTGCCACCACCATCAAGGACCCATGTGGCGGTTCATCGACTGGTATGGAGTCGCCCATCGATTCAGAAACTAAATCTTCGCGAAGTAAACGGATTCTGATTGTCTTGGCCATAATGATGGTTTGCATTGCCATGGCGGGGGGTATACCGTTGGCCTTACAACTACGACAGTCCTCGCTATTAGGTAAGCATCAAGTGCTAGGGAGGATTGATGAGTGAATGCAATGTAATAATAATTTTGTGTTTCCCTTCACAGAGGCCCGTTTGGCTTTCATAAGACGTTTGCTTAGCGAAGCCCCATTGATAGAGGGCTCTTGGACACCTTCGCGGGAAATGAACTTTAGCAGTAGTATGCGAGAAATGCGACAAAAATATGTTGGTGCCGTTTTATGGCCCATTGCCGTTCCATGTGGTGCTCAATATTTGGATGCTGTACAATTGGCACTCGAGGGAATTGATGAAGCTAGACGAATAACTGCTGTCACCGATTCGATGCATATTGTCGAGTCGGCGGACGAAATGGAACAAACACATATCAGGGGTGAAGTTGCCGTGTTGATGGGCCTTGGTGGTGGTCACACATTGGGTACTAGTTTGGCTGTCTTAAGGTCAATGTATTTGTTGGGTGCCCGTTTTGTTTCGATCACCAGTTTGGAGTGTACCACAGCATGGGCAGCTTCAACAAAGAATTTAGATTATCTTATGGAATCGAATGCTACAAATTCAATTAATGATTTCGGAAAGGTAAGTGAAGAGATAACAGGCGATTTTGAAAGAATATACATCGCATACGAAAGTCTTAACACTAGATAGCCGAAGGCAGTCATTTTGACCGTTTTTCAATTTCAAGTACAAAAACAATTGTGTATGTTATGACCCAGCTTTTTAAAATTTGGTGACTTTTTGTACCACATAGAACTACGTTTATTAATCATAGTAGCTGCTTCCTCCCCTCTTTCATCCCCGTATTCACATGTGCTATACCTATATAGCCTAAAAGCGGTCATTTTGACTTTTTGTGAAATATTAAATAATTAAACAACTTTTATTATTGTATAAAGTAAATTTCTTATATGACAAGATCACTACAACAACATCGAAAACCATTTGATACTCTAGAAACACAAACGAACACACAAATCGGGAAAAATAAATTTTATATTTCCAGTCGATTTCACTCTTAGAGTAAAGACTTCCTCTTTTTTTAACATTTTGTCCGCGTTCTTATTTTTCATAAAGGGAAACTCGAGAGCCCTCCCCCATAAAACAAATAATAACAACGTTTTATTTTTTGGTATTTTTATTATATGATTGTAAATAATGTAAAAAATATTAATAAATAAGTTTAAAAAAAATTCTTTACAAAATAAAAATTTTTTCAGAGTGAAGTCATTTTGACCGATTTTAGGCAATATAGGTATATACAAAATTCCCGTCTTTCTAGTGTTAAAATACATTTTTTCGTTAATTTAGTTTGGTATATAATTTTTTTTTTTTGAATTAAACTTACGGCAGCTATATACTGTAAGTGTAATAAAAAAATCAACTGAAATGCTCAAAATACATTTCCCAATAAGCTTTATAAAAATATATTTAATTTACTTTTAAGAAGTCATATTTTCACATTTGGCTTTAATTTGGTATTTCGACTCTCCACTGGTTGGAAGAACTTCTCCATATGTGGTCCCTGTAATAAGTATTTTTCGGTTCAAGTGAGGCGAAATTTTATCCAAATTTTTAATCAAATTATAAATATATTATAATTTTGATTCCTTAGTTCCTTATAGGACTATATGACTCTTCCGCTTATTTATGTGTTTTAAAGGTATTAATAAAATGATGATTCGAGAGTTAATATTTAATAAAACTATTTTGTATGTTATCAGTAAGTATTTCTAGGAAAAGTAGGATACGTGTCTATAGCTTAAGAAGCAATATCGTGCTATATATCGGTTGAATAATAAACATACGTATCTCATTTTCAGACCATGTTATTTGAAATGAATCGCATTGGCATGTTAGTAGAAATCTCACATCTTTCGGAAGCCGGTATGATTGCAGCTCTGAAAACAGCCAAAGCGCCGGTTTTGATGATGAATGCAGCACCGGCATCTTTCTGCAATGGTACAAATGTGGCATCTATACCGGATCGAGTTTTAAGGTTGGTACAATAACCCCACGAAATAATTAAAATTCCATGAAATCTTCATTCCAGTCTACTACCGGATAATGGCGGCGTGATTATGCTCAACCTGGAACGCTGTGGCGAACGTTTGTTGGGAGTGCGTGAGGCTATTAACGCGATAAATTTTGTTCGCAAAGTGGCCGGTGTCGATCACATCGGTTTGAGTGGTGCACCCAAGGGTTATGCATTTCTATTGGCTGAATTGGCCCGCGATCGAGTGTGGGGCAATGCAGCCATTAAGAAACTAATTGGCGGCAATGTGGTGCGTATTCTGCGCGAGGTGGAAACATTGAAGAATCGACTACCTCTTTACGAAGAGTGGATACCAAATGAATTGGTGGAGAGCAATTCCTATTGTCGTTATCCAGAATCGTAAATCTGATGGAATTGAGAAGGTATTTTATTAATTTTTGATCTTGCTGTCTCCCCCTCTCACTTTATTGAAGAGCACAAATACACCTACGTACATGCGTATGTATGTGTACTTGATATTTTCAGTGATCTCTTTTGTCTACAAAGAGTGATAGATCGGCGGCCAAACGGCCTGCAAAACCTGTATTTAGCAATATTTTGAAACGATAAAACATATTTAAAGTTGTTGTTTAGTTAATTTTTTTCAAATTGAAATTCTTATCAAAACCGTATTAAATTAAATTATAAGACAAATGAAAATAACAACATAAAACAAAAACCAAAAACAAACAACAAATAAAATAAAGAACCAATTTTCATTGTAATGTTCAAGAGTTAAAAAAATACATATTTTTATGTTACCGATTTATTTATAAATAAACAAATAAAATATTTATAATAATTAGAAAACATATCGTTGTCTTACTTACTTAAAATTGTATCAGCCATTATTATAATTCTCTTTTTGGCATTGGATTTTACAGGGTAAAATATACCACATTAAAGTCTTTTAATCATAACCCTATTTCTAACTTTGGTATTTTCAACAGGTTTTCAACCTAATTGACTCAATCTTGGGTTTCACCATAACTCACTTTAAATAAATGTAGCTCAGCTTCATTGTTAATGGAATATTGGTTTTCTTTGGCCGAAATCCGTGTCAGACAATTTGGAATCGATTTACAAACTACAACTCTCGAAGGGTGTAACGGATTTCATCCAAACTTTGCACATGGCTATATTTCTTCGAAACTTAACTCAAGTTTGATGATGGGGAATATTAGTCCAATACTTCTGGTACCTCACCCACAAAATTGTCAAAATTATGCTGAAAATTAGGTGTATCTTATCAGGCGAACAAACTATCCAATTTGAGCCAAACTTTACACAACATGTTATATTTATCAAACCTAGATCAAGTTCGAAGGTAGGTCCATTCCTCATACCTCACCAACAAAGGGTCAAAATTTTCAATTTTTTTTAAATCGAATTTAGCGAATGGAAAGTCCGATTTGATCTAAACTGAATTTGAATTTTAAATCAAGTTGGAATATGAGGAATATCGGTCCACTCTTTCTGGGACCTTCACTTCAAAATGGTCAAAATTGTAGAAAACTTTAAATAACATGCAAACGAAGCAAACGAAATATCCAAATTTCATATAAACTTGACATTATGGTAGATCCCTCACAAAGGGTCACAGTTTTGATAAATCATTAATCCAATAACAAAAGTATAAAATGTCGGATTAGATACAACATTTACACGTCGTAATATTTCTTTCAAACTTAAATCAAGTTCGAAGCCGAAACCCATTGGTCGGTCACCTCCCTCTGGTATCTCCCTGATATAATGGTCAGATCTTTGTTGAAAATTAATTGTATAATTCGAGTACCTTTCAATATCAATATTTTGTAAATATTTTTTGAATCCAACATAAATGAAGTTGGAAATGCAGGTCCACTCCTTCTGAAACCTAACACAGAGTGTAAACAAATTGTTAATCCAATATCAAGCTAATGGAATGGCTAATTTAACCCAAATTTTTGATGTCGTAATATGTTAACCAAATGTAAATTACATCCGAAGATGGGTCCTATCGGTCCACTCGTTTTGATACTTGCTTTTTCATATATGATACTCACGCCCAAAGCAAGAAAAGCGATACCAAAAACCAAAACATATTGCATACGCAACCCCGTGTACATACAAACATTTTAAAATACAGTAATAGTACGTTTACATTTAACCGGATTTCGTTAACCCGGTGGGTTTCAATTGTCAATTCCTTTGCATATATGTCAAATAAATCCTCATAAACTAGGTTAACCCGGTAAAAAGTTCTAATGTATATGCCGTTTAAGGAAGTTGTAAAAACTCGATAAATTTGTAAAAAGAAGGGCTTTTCAAAAAATGGAGACACGTGCGGATTTTACATCTGGATTGGATTATTATTGGTTAGAAAATCTCCCTTAGACGATTTAGCCTTATCGGTCCATACTTTAAATATTTTGGCGTTAAAATGCTTTAGAGCTTATATTTATTACACAGTTAGTAGATATGCATTCTTTGGATTCCCTATGTCAAGACCAGATTATGGACGACACATATCACGAGAAAAATCTAAGAATTCAAATTTTTGGTAAAGTTATGAGCTTTTTAGTACCGAGAAGAGGGCAAAATGTGTACAGTACTAATTTGTGTATACAGTTCAAATTATTTAAATCGCATCGTATTCGAAATGTACGAATTCTGTCATCAGAATTATTTTTGATTCTTGTAAAACAGAATATTGAGAATAATTTAAGGGGACCCCCCCCTTTCTCGGGGTCAAAATTTTTGTTGACTTAATTCCAATCTACACTAATTCAAGAATGTCCCTACAAAATTTCAGGTTAAAAATCTCAAGAATTCTTGAAGATATAGCCGATTTATTGTGTCAGCATCAAGTGACGGCTGAAGGGCTTCTCAAACTTTAAACGCGTTTTTCTCTAAACATTTTTTTGCGAATGGCGGGCACGATAACTCAAAAACTAATAACCCAATCGATTTTTACACGTGTCTCTGTGAGTGTATAGCTATCGTATGAACTAGGATAAAGCCAATCGGTGAAGATCTTCCTTATTTTTTAACTTGGTTTTTGGTCAAAAATATGCGATTTTCCAAAAATATTTTTTCAAAGGTCCGCCATTTTGTTAATTTTTGAGCGAAGTCAATAATCCTAGTTCATACGAGAGCCAGACATGTACTCTTTCTAACACCGTTGGAATTTTCGGATTCCGATGTTCCAGTGAGGAGTTATCATGCCCGCCATCAAAAATAAGGACTTTTCTTTGATCACAAAAAAACAACAACAAAACAAAAACAAAAAATTTTTGTAAATTATTTTTCTTCTTTTTAAATCTTCAAATATATATGTACAAAGTTACAAACCTTAACAAGCATTGGTTTTGATTTACCAGCCCATTGAAAATCTTGACAAATTAAAATCGAGAATGGGTGGGGTTCCCTCAAAATGATTTTTTCGTCGATTTTGCATTTGGTTTTCTTGATATTGACCTTTTATTTTTCAGAAAGAATGTACTGCATCTCCCGAATGCAAGGATATAGCGATGCCAAATGTTGTCCATATCCTATCTAGGATAGTTGCATTAAATCTGGGAACAGAAAATTGTTCTATGATTACGGAAAAAAATTCGGGGCTCAAAGGGTTAAATGTCCATACCAAAATTATAAAAAAGTCTTATCTGTATAATTGCAAATAAATGTCTATATTTCGATGGTGTATCACAAAAAATGTGGACTCGCCCGTTCATAATTCATTTTCACTTCTTTGAATATGATATGCTTTAGAAAAATTTACAGGCGTTAATAAACATAAGAAACATTTCCCCTATGTGTGACGTTTTAATTTATTGGTCCAGAGTACATTCGTAATTTGTTATGAACAAATAAGTTAGTATGTGTTAGAATTTGTATTTTTTTTATAAATTTTTTTGAATGTTATAATTGCACTCTACACAGAAGATACATCTATTACATATTCGAAATAATTGCACTCTGGCGACGCATAATCCGTTTGTTCATAACTCCCAAACAAATAACATCGCGTTTTAAGCAATGCCATTTAAATCCGATAAGAAACGAAAACAAACTCGTTTAACAACATTTTCCGCCATGGATCTGGATCCTCCTTATGGTGTGAATAAATGAAATGAAAACAATTGCAATAAAATCTGCGAATCCGTGTAATTCCACAGCGAAGGAAGTTACATTCCAACCGGAGAAGCCCTAGTTTCCTTCTGCCATGCCAGTCGAAACGAAAGGACGGCCTGGGATTAAATATTCTTATTTGTGTTTGTCCAACAGCGAAGTGAGTGTCAGTGCCACAATTATGGCTGTAAACGAAAGGGACGATGTTTATACTGGGGTCAGAATTATAGTCGGGTTACCTGAAGCGTGTTTACAAAAAGATTGCTGTAGAGATTTAACAACTTTTGCATTATTTATTATAAGTATGAATATGAATTGTGTTGGTAATAAACTAAAACAAAAGGTTTAAGTGGAATTTCAACAAAAGTGGCGAGCACGGTGGCATGATGGATTTTTGTATTTTATTCAATATAAAGACTTTTCTTGTTCTGGTAATGTCATAGGAGAGAATTATGCATAAAATCAGTGAGAAGCAGTATAATAGGACGACAATTCAAATTACCCACGGTTTTGGCATATTTGAGCTGCAAAGTATTGACCCACCACTATCAGTTGGCCAGTGTAACACTTGAGATGTTCGGCATATAATAATGGAGCAACTAGAAAACCAGACAACAAGTCTTCGGTCCAATTCATCGAACATTATAGGCAACTTCCTTTACCACAACCGGAAACTCATGCTAAATTTCCTAGCTATCAGCGTTACATTTCCGCCCTCTGGTGTGGTAATTGTAATACTATGTCATGGCAATTCGCTATGAAGTTCCCACAATACCAGATGATGCTTCAATGTTCAAATATATGGAATATGTTCACGATTAGTGGAAAATAACCATTGTTGCGATTAAATAGCTTCAGTATAAATCATATATTAACAAATTTATTTATGAGAAGTATGCTCTTCAATCCATATCTATGAAAAATGCCACCATCACAGTCCGCATTGCATACAAATATATATGCTCAAATACCCACTGTCCTCAACTACCACACACTTTTGTTTGCAAACGACTACATCCGCAAACCGGTTACATTTAATTATTTATTTAGCATAACATTTATTTCATTATTTGTCCCTTTTAAGGTTGTTTGTCCGAATTTGTGAATTGTGGGGCATTGGTAAACAAATCAACACCGAAACCTTTCAACTCCTTTGAAATGTTGGTTTTTCTTTGAACACAGACGACCACAAGCCAGCAGTCAACAAACAAGCCAGCAGTCAACAAACAAGCCAGCAGTGGGACGGACAGAATTTCACCCAGCCCCGTCTGTCAACAGTTTTAAGGAATTTGGGGCAAAAC